ACAACACGTCACAGGCAGTTCCAATTCATATCTTTTACAATAGATCGTTTTCGTCCATGCGTCGCATATATGTCCAGAAAATTTAATCGAGTGTATGTGTGTATTTATATTCTATTTTTGTAATTCTTATTTATAATACAGTAAATACAACGCTGCAGATTGGTCGTTAAAATTGAGTCTACGGTAAAATTGGTTTGACAGAACGCTCTTCTCCCCCTCACCGCTCATTTGATTTTGACTGTAAAGTCAACTCGACGTTCACCCACCAGATCACAAGAACTCAAATCTCACACGAGATACAAGCCGGTACCACCCGTGTACATTTTGATTTTCCACACGAGTGTTGTAAACAGGTTACAAGATAAGCCCGTGATGTCGCGGCGACTTTTCTTTACTAATGATTTTGATATTTTATCACGGGAATTTCCGTGTAATAACCTATACTTATAATATACAGTAAACTTTTTCATTGTCGCCTCTACCAATTAGTCAATATTATATGGAAATTTGAGGGCAATAGTAAATACACGTTCTGTTTACCGATTTGTGACGGAAATATGAAAACCAAAGTCATTGACTTCGTGTTTTCACACTTGTTATATTAGCAGTCTGGAGGAGTAGTATACAGGTTTACTGTATACGAGATCAGTACCGTCAATAGACCGACGCAACGGAAACAGGCAAAATAAACTTGAGTCGGCGTATTTTCTTCGCGACCGTTCAGCAACACTCTGGCCGTGTGTATCCGGTGGACTGCCGCCTTTTCTTGTTGGCCATCATCAACTTGAATTAGTTCCGCGTCATATTTTTCCGACGATGTATAAATTACCGTGCGCACGATGTTTCAAATCATGGCACATGAAGACTGCTCTGTACTTGTTTGAAATTCAATTGCTGTGTTATATTTAAACAAACAAATTGTAATCCGTTCTTAAGATGTTTATATCAGTTGTTGTTTTGTGGGATTAGCGGTACAGGGGGAAAGATAAGCATTCATTTACTCAGTGGACAGAGGCGGAGTTAATTACCCATGAGCACTTGGTGCAATCCAAGGGATTGAGCGGTTCCCCTTTAAAAACAAGACATTCATTGGGATTAAGATTGCCCATATACTAAATTTAAGCACTTATTTGTTTTTCCTCTCTCTCTTTCTCAAAAAGAAAACACATTTTTTTAATCTTTTTAAAATTTTAGGCCAGCACTGTCTTTACACCAGGATCTTCACAGGTATGAACTGCCTATGTACTCTGGGGGTCATGTCGAAGACTTTGCTTTCCTGTACCTGTCAACATACGCTCAATGTTTTTTCCAGCCGTATTACAAATGTTAAATACAACACCTACTTGATCCTATCACGAACTTCAACATATTCACCTATTGTATCATTATGATTATTATATAGCTCGTGCGCCCTCACATCAGGGCAATGGTTTCCCGTATCACGTCCGGTCCAGCTTTAATCAATCAAATCAAGACGCGTCATTCTATTATATCATATAAACTATGTGACAAACCCTTAATGAATACGTTAACTAGGGCGCTTCCGCCGATCGACCTTGGGCTACAAAAGCCGCACCCAGTCCATATAGATCAATACTGGCCGTTTGAGCGCATGTTGATCTGATTTATTAAAACGGGAGGATCGTCACCTGCGCACGCGCAGTGATTGTTTAATACCTTCCAAAACAATGATTCGTGAGATCAACATGCAATCAAATGATGAATTTATTGTCTAAGTTCTATGAACGATGTAGCCATTTTCTCAAATTAGTAACCCTTTATTATTATTTTGAATAGAAAGTAGGGAGTGTAAAGTGGTAACTGGGAATACCCCAATGAAAGCGTTCATTTGCATTAATTAATATTCATGAGCAGTGAACAACTCGTTTTTTTTCAGTAAAACTGTGCTAAAATGCTTTGATTCTATCATTACGGGCTGAAAATATAACTGAAAAACTGAAGTGTATTTGAGAGATATTTTTGATCAGACTCCAGCAAACTGTTGAAAATGTTTTTTTAGCGTAATCATATTGCTCACGATGTTTTAAATTACTTTTACCAGCGACCAGTTACCTAATTAATGTGCATTTCGTAAAGTATATGTGTGTGTGCATGTGCAGTTTGAAATGGAACAATTTTGAACGCAAGTCTCCAGCAAGAAATTTGTACCCGGCCGTCGAACTGGTTGTCGCTGAATTATCTTTAAATGGACATAATTTTAGAACTAGAATATTTCTATGTGATGTTTCTATATTTCGTTCTGTAAAATTATTTCATCTGTTCGTAAACGGGACGTTGTTGCTTCGACGAAGGGCTACGGACGACTGGCTTCGAAACGCCCCATCCAGATCATTGGGAGCATAATAAAATCCGACAAAGTATGCGTCATCAAGAAAATAATGAAATAATATGACGTCATGTGCATATATTATTTTACGAAAAAACTAATTCGGAACATCATAAAATCTGAAAAAGTA